CAAAACTGCACTAACCCTTTTAGTGATCGAAGATTACCTCGTGCAGAAATTATCATTTGGGTCTTTTCTTTTCGAGAGATACATGAGGTTATTATATTTGAAGAATTTTGTGATTCTATATAATTTCGAATTTCTATAGCATGTTTCAGTTTTTTCCACTTACATCAGAGATGCTGATGTACATCTTTTCTTGTGAGTGGTTCTTCCATTTCTAACCATTGTCCAAAAGAAAGCCACAATTGTTTATTTAGATCTTTTGTTTTGGACTTCACTTGGGTAATATAATTGACTTTAATTATCTCATTATTAATAAGTGCTAGAAAATTAGACAGGATCTCAGATAGCTCAACTCTGTTTACTAATATAGCTTCTCAAACTAATGTTTCTATTAATAATTCCTTTGCAAAAACTTTTTCTCGACTTTTAACTTCTTTTGATGCTATGCGATCAGATAGGCCAAGCGGAACGCTCTTTCACTCTTTTTCAATATAAAATATTTTATCTTGTGTATATAACTCCCGAGTTGCATGTTGGGTCCGATGCTAATAATTAATAACACAAAAGGTAAATTAATATTAAGCTTATTAATAGATTTGGATGAGTTTTTAGATTTATCCTCTTCTGTTTAATATTTTTGCGAACTAGACCAACTACCCTAACTAATTATTGGGTTATTAAAAAAATAACTGTGTATTTGTTGAACTACAAATATACTCAGTAGAGGCCCTATTGCTTTTACTATAAAATGAAATTTTTTGCATATCTGAGTATATTCAATAATAGCTTGGAAAGGTCAACTGATCAACACAAAAACAATCCTAGCAGTGAGGAAAGAATTTGATAATTATAAATAATATATACCCGGTTTGGATCAAAAGTAATATTATTAATTGTTAATACTATGGTTGGTGCAATAGATAAATTGTAGTCCATTGGTAGGGTTAAAATTTGTTCTTTCCCAAGGCTACGTTTTTTATTATAACGAGCATGACATGACAACTTTTTGGTTGGTTTCTCTTGGGATATGTTAACAAGGTTAGAAATTTCATTTTCATTTTTACACTTCTCAATAGATTCTTGCATTGTTTATGAATTTAAAAACGTTCTCGATATATTACTGATGAGTGAAAATTTTTAGCGATATATATAGCAAAGCTTACAATATTATAAAAAATAAATTATGAGGATTTATGCTGGGAGGTGCCTCTTTTATTAGAAAATACAATTATAACTAAAGGTATAGTTACTCCTAACGCGTGTTAATTTATAAATTTGCCAAATATTTTTTTATCACGCTATTATATATTACAAAACATAACTTAACGATTTAACACTTTGCAATTACAAAGTACACTTTCTAAAAAATAGTAATTCGTCAAAACAATGGTTAGCACGTTGCTTTATTTAACGTTATAATAGACTTTGTAATTTTCTAACAAATTGCTATTTACCAAATTCGGCACCACAATTATTTGGACATGGCAATTCAATCAACAATCGCACATTTTCTATATTTGGAATTACGTTAATAACTTGTTGAGGCACATTTGGCTATACAGAGTACAGTAATTATTTTACATACTATATTTAAGTTAGATCTACAAATTTAGAATAACTTCGTTATTTATGCAATATAATCAAAACATGTTGATCAAACATCTAGCAGAAGTGTAAATACTGTACAAATCAATGTTGGCCTATGACCTGTTATGACCTATTGGCCAATTATAGGTTATGACCTTATGACCTGTTATGACTTATAAAATTTACTAATATATTATGACCACCTTGGTCATATAAAGTTGGATATGACCTAAAATGGCTAACATTAGTACAAATATCTACAAACATAAATGTGTGTTAATTTAGCACAACCACGTTGATAACCATTCAAAAATAACAGCTGTTTGTGACTTATTTTGCCATTGATCTATGCTAGAAAAAAATAAAGCACGTACGCATTATGACCTAGACTAAAATAAAAGTGGACCCACGGGACTGTTAAGTCATATGATAGTATGACAAAGCTAAAATAGCGACGTTACGTCACTTGATACTCAGTTCGAATCCTTGATCGGCTTTAATAATCAATAGCCTGCATTAAATTTTATGCAGTGTCACTCTCTTGCAGAATCATTTTTCACAGTCGATTTTTGATTAACAGTTAATAACTAGGCGCTCTAGAACTTTTTCCTTACCTTATATAAGATCCCGTGATAAGAATGTGACTTAAAAAGACTATAAGGGCAATGGGTATAACATTCTTAATCAGTAGTTTAATCAAAATTCACATGTTACGGGGTTTTGGAATTCCAGATCGTCAGGATTGTTGACTTTTTTTACATCGCAAGATAGATCGTTGAATTTAAGGGGGTTAATTTCACCAGAAAAAACAATAAAATAGATTTGGCGTTTGGAAGTTATGACCGAGCGGAGTTGCTTTGTTAAGTGTGTTATGGTATTGTGTTAGAGTAACGTAATTACTAATCATGTAACTTTTTTTTTCTGGCAGGTTTTTTAGATCTAACAAATAGATGGTATAAATAAGCAAGTTTCCACCTTAAGATATATTAGCAAATAACGTTATTTTTGCTCATATATTTTTTACTTGATTTATTTGCCTGTATTTTTTTTAAAAAGTAATTTGTATTATTTCATTTACGGAAGCTATAAAACCGAATTTTACTTACTATAGTTTTTTTATATTTAGGCACGAAAAATAAGCAGTAATAAAAAAACCACCACCAAGACTAATGACACCACCGCCAAGACTAATAACACCCCCAGATATGTAGGTGGGAGGCAAATTAACTCTTTTGCATAAGAAAAGAAAGCACAGATTGGCGCGAAAAGCGGAAATCAGGAAGCGTGGAGCCCTTGTCTTTGATACAGCGCTGGTTTGGAGTAGATAGGAACCCAGTAATGGGCATAAAGCCTAGGTATAGCTAGCCATATGAAGCTAGGTAAAGGTGGTAACCAAGATGATGATGGAGGTTATAGTGATATGAAAAAAATAATATTTTTTTTATTTGTATATTGCCAGTTTGGCAAAAAAAAATATTAAATAAAGAAGGGCCCCATGCTGGAGCTCCTAATCTTTTATTTTTACATGCTTTTTTTTATGAAATAAAGAGGGTCATAACATGTGCCATTATCTAAGAAAAAATTAACTTTAATAATCTGGATATAAGACTTCGAATGGATAGAGTTATACATATTTAATATTTACTGAATACTGTTTTTTTAAATCTTTTTTGTGTGGAGTAGTAGGTAATCTCATCCTAGCTTTGAAATTCTGCTTATGTTCTAAGAAATCTACTTTACTCATATTTTTACGTTCATCTTTCCAGTAATTATGGTTACCTCGCATTTCAAAGGCAATATAATATCGCCATTTATCTAATATTTGTTTTGAGATTTTTTTGAACTTTTGTTGAAATAGAAGAATGATAAAATCTATATCTGCTTTATTTCTGATAAGAATTTCTGAGGTGCAGTCATTAGGCATTAGATTAGATTGAGTATTTACCTTTGTCTCCGGTAAAGATTTGTTATCCTCACTTATCATATTTTGCGAATTAGAGATGTGGGATGATTCAGTAGGTATACTTGCCTTAATATTTGATACGTCTTTTGAGCTAGATGGTTCAGTCACATGCGCGTTCTGTTTCGGAACGCTGATCTTTTTTTGGCAATTAACTTTATTGTTTAGATTTGCTGTTTTTTTTAGAAAACAATTTATAATATTTTGAATCTGATCATCTTTTAAACTTGAAATAGCATTTGCACTGTAAGTTATTTGCCTAATCTTATCTATTCCTATTCCTTCAAATAATGTATATACTTTTTTAGCTTTAAAACTTCTCTTACGCAAATTTACATCACTAATATCAGGAAGGAGCAATTTGATTTCATTGTATACCAAAGTTCTTACTGATTGATCGTCAATTTTATTCTTGGATTTAATATCATCAACTCGATTTTCATATGCTTTAGTGTAATAATACCAACATAAATTCTCTTTTTGTCTAGTTTTCATCGCCGTATTAAACAAGTCTACTATAATCTGAGCCATAACTTCATCAGAACCTATTAATATTTTTTCTAGAGAAAGATCAGGAATTTGTACGTTTATTTCTTGTATGGTAAGATTTTCTTTAGCACAAACAGATAACTCATGCATTAGGCCTCGTTCTACTTTCTAATCATAAAGAATCTTTATTTCAGGAGAAATAGTATTGTGTGTTTGATCAATGGACATTTGCTCCAATTCAGCAGATGTTTTTTGTATTAATTCTTAATCTTTAAATTTCTTTTCTCTATTTCTCTCTCTTATCATATTACTAATTATTTCCTTGTTTTGCAAATCCAGAAAATCATCAACTGTATTATCTTCTAACGATTTAGGCTTCATATAGATAGGTGATGTGAAGCATTGATTCTTCGACTCCTGGCATATATCCGGATTAGATGCGTCATCAGATGTATTTTCTACATGTTTAGGAGTATTGTTAGAATTTATTTCAGGGGAAGAGTTGGTGCTATCAGAGTGACCATTAATATGTGATAGAATAGGTACTTGTGAAACATCATTAGTAGTCCGATTTGTTTTATGATTTGTTTTAGTCTTGTATTTTCGATCCTAAGATTAGCAATTTCTTCGATAATCTGGTATTTTCAGTTTCAAGTTTGGTAACTCGTTGTCTCAATAATTCAAGCTCTGATAACATGATTGATGAAAATTTTTATACAAGGCATAAATTTATTCAAAATAAAAAAATTTTTAACAAATGCGATCATGTAAACATTAAGATACGCGCAGTTAAAAGTTTTTAAAAAAACGTAAAAGCGTTAGGATGATCTACATAACGAAATTACGCGTAATAAATTTTAATTGGCTGAGTATGCGTAAATCAGCGAACCTGATGGGTAAATAGATGTACGAGAAGATGATTGCGATCGTTTTTTTTTTCGCATACTGTATAACAAATCAAAACAAGATGCATCATTATTTCTTTCGCAGTCCTTCGGAATGGAATATTGAGGATTTTCTAAAGAATTGTAAAGATCAGAAAACAAAAAGAGCGAAGATAGGAATTTACATTACGTGTTTGAACAAAATCCTTAATGATGAGAATGAGGAAAACCAGAGGCGTGAGACAGCACAGAAGTTGCTCAATAAATATCGAACGGTAAGATTTGTTTTATTAATAGTATAGAATGATTTGGTGGCGTGACGAAGACCTTTAAGCTCCTCGTCATTCAAGTCTTTAAGCCGAGCCACGAAACTAGTTTTGGGGCACAGGTGACCTTTATGCTCGCCTGCTGTTCAAGCCTTTATGCCGACTCAATTCTGGTACCACTGGGGCACAGGTGACCTTTATGCTCGCCTGCTGTTCAAGCCTTTATGCCGACCTGGTGGACAGAACTTGTGGAAACAGAGAACTTATTGACTAAGAATGTTACTAATTTTCCAAGCTTTCATGCTAGGGTGATAAAACTGACCGAAAACTCGCTAAGAATTGGGAGTTGAATCGTGAACCGGAGAAAATACCATCGTTTAACATTTACAATACATTTTCGGGAGGTACTCAAACGATTGGAACCGTCAACGACAGAACTTTCATTACTGGGTCGTCTAAAAGAGTAGATCACGAAAAGGTACAGATTATCTAGAAATTGATAATAAATGAAACTAATTTTGAATTTCTTTAGGATGATGATAATCAGACTAAGCAAAGAAAGCGAGTACGTTTTCATGAAAAGGGGTCTGCATACTATAACTTAAATTTTGTCTGCAAAAAACATCTTTAACAGAGTTAATTTTTTTAGAGGGATATATTGCCTAATGGGACGAAAATTAAAAAGCCAGCTCCTTTGAACCTTATACCATCGGATGAAGACTCCTCTGACGATGATGATTCCTCCCAAGTAGATGACTATTCCTCTCAAATAGATGATGATTTCCATCAAGCAGATTACTGCGATCGCGATGATGATAGCGACGAAGAAGGCGCACCTACCCCAGAAGAATCTCTCAATTCCGTCCTTAGTGACCCAAAGAATTGGATTCTTCCCTCCGGAGAAAACGTTTGCAACATTATCACTAAGAATACATCCGCCAATGCGATGGCAATAAAAAGGAAGAAAAGTTTATCAGCCGTAGAGAAAGCAATATTGCGCTATGGCGCATCACGAATAATTGATTTATCGGCGCACATGAAACAATGGTTTTCTCTCGAAGATAGAAGATTCATGATGAAAGATCACATGTCTTTATTACAAGTTCCTGACCTGACAGACGAAGAAAGTTCCTTTATCACAACTATCGAGAATGTACATGCATTGTTTCGAATTTGCTTGATCTGTACACACAAATATGCATGCTGAATAATTTTTTCTTATACAGATGTTAATCGAAAAAAGAATAAACGAAGCATACGAATTTTGCGTTAAAAAGTTTACTAGCTCTGACGCGAACAGCTATGTGCGCAAGATCAGCAAAATATATTTAGATTTGTTAGTACTTTATTCTACTATAAATTGCTTTGATTCTTTATTTTTTATGATTTAATTCTAATAATTTTGATGCTTATAGTATTTACAGAAGCGAAGATGGTGATATGTTGGATCCTGCACACACTGAGATTGACATTATATTAAAAGCATGTTCATATATCGTTGAAGGCCTGAGGAAGAATCTGGTAGTAAAACAAAGATGGTTGGTATAAATGAATTTGATAGTTTCGTATTCCAATTCTCACAAGTTACTTATGTTACAATTTTTGTATATTAAAATAAGGGGAGAGTCGTTCTGCCCATTGAGCAGAAACACGGACTATAAAAATGGTCGCAAGTGCGACGTGCGCTTCTTATCACCATCAGAAGTAGACCTTGGAGAATGGGAGTTTGCGTCAAATGCAACACCACAAAAGACAATTGGCGACCGTTGTCGATCAGCTCGTATTAATCAGTCGATATTAAATGGTCTGTTGAATCGCAACCTTACCAATGAACAGGTTAAGAAAATCAATGTTCCCTTTTTACAGATTGCGGGTACGAATGGGCAGATGTTAATTGAGGATTCAATCGAGGGTTTCTATGTTGTCTTTCCGGGTCCAAAGTTCGAGTTACCTACGAAACTTCAACATATCGAAAAATTGAAGTCCTCTATAAACATTATCAAGTCTGTCATGGTAGGCTTACAATTATGTTTGTTCAATGACATCAGAAATATTTGTATAATTAATCTATTTTAACATTTTACACAGGATATATATGAGCAAATAAGCGAAATCGTAGAAACTAAAGGAAGTACAAGTAATGCACTTGACAGTATTTTTGGTAGTGATGATCTTTATCTGAGTAAACCCGCCCATTGTAAAGCTGAATTTATTCATGAACCGTGGTGGACTCCCAAAAATAACAAAACCAAAGTTACTGACAACAAATGGCAAAAAAAAATTTGAGGGTTTGTGCGATTATTAATAACCTTAAGGGCATGTTTGTCATTCTCATACTCATTCTCTTTTTTTTGATTTGATTTCATTATTATTAGCTGACTAACTTTTAGAATTGCGCGAGCATTGGAACAAGCAATTTCAAATCCGCCTCGATAGTTAGAATAAGAAACATCACATTATATCTATCATGTTAGCGTAGAAATGTTATTATAGATAACTAATGTATTTTATTTTCCCATATTAATAAAGTACCTGGTAGCATATCATAACTACATTTTTTTTCGTATGGGTGGGTGTATCGAATAACAAAATTATTCCTAGCAAAGTGATCGGCGTTCCGAAAAAGAACGCGCACGTGATTTTTTTCTCTTGATGTTTTTAAGTGATAATTCTTCTATAATGTATAGTGAAAATACTGTTTTCTTGAATCTGAAACAAATCTTCAGTACTCGACTAGTCCTCGTTGATTTTCCAAGAGAAAAGAAATGATAGTTCGAATTAAAACGTTTTCAGCATCATGAATGTAATAGCTAGAATGATCAAATAAGCGTTTTATAATCACGTTACTGCATCGGTGAACTCGATGAGCTTTTACTGCGCAACAGTCACGTGCTTTTCGCTGACCGATCGGTCAATGAGTTCTGAAAGTTTTGTGGTCTCCTAGGACCTGTCCACATCGGGCCTAGTGTTTTTTTTTACATGTGATAGTGCACTTTTTTTCTCATATTTGTGATACCTGCACTGTTATATAGTAAAAAACTGCGAACACATATCTAAGCAAACGAGAGTTCAGCTCAGCATATCGTCAGGCGAAACACATAGGGCAGGCTGGAAAATAAATAACAGGGCAGATAGGGAAATCAATGTAGTGGATTTCCGGGACCATGCGGTCAGAAATATTCGAGCAAAGGGCACATGATTTTGGGTGAACCAAGTTCGCCAAAATTTTCTAATTTATTTTTATTTAACGTTAATTATTCGAGGTTCTCTTTAAAGATTGTATCCGGGTAGCCATTTTTATTATATGCTATAATAAATTACTCGGATAACCGGGCAATTTAATAATACCCGGGTAGAGATTTTCTTGACGGGTACAATCTCTAGTTCTCTTTTAAAATTATCACATTCACATCGCTTATATATTCCATCCGCTACTTTTTTGCATGTTTTGCAATATAGGTGTGAATGGTGATTGCATTCGTCACAAACCTTACACCCGCGCTTCCACCCTTTAAAGATATGCCACTTTTCGATATAATTTTGTTTGTTTTTATTTGTAAGTATACTATATCCTTTCATTGTTATATATTGACAGAAAAAAAATACGTGGCTAATTTTTTTTATCATGTGTCTTTCGACACTGGTTCTGCTATACAAACCAATATGTGACACCATATACTTGTGCCCCGTCTTACAAATTGCACAAATTATATGTCTACGATATTCGCAAGTGATTTTGTAACAATCACTCAAATAAATTATGTTTAAACCTCATAAGAAAATATGAAATTTGATCTTTTAACAAGTATACACAAAAAATATATAATTTCTGAAATAATCAATGCTTACTATTAAACCAAATTTTTTATTAATTTTGGTGGCTTAACGTATTTTAGCTGTTCTGGTTCCACTGACCGATCGGTCAACCAAAGTCACGTGATTATGGCGCAGTAAAGACGATCTCATTCAAACTCCTCTTCTATAGCATCAATTTCGTCCCAACTTAATTTGGAAATTCTCAATGCCGAATAAGATCTTACCCGTTGTATTTTATCCTCACCTATGCTACTAAAAAGGTCATAAATTTTCCTTGCTCTTTCTATTCTTTTCTCAATTGCATTTTTCGAGAGGTTAGATGGGAG